CGCTGATCCCGGATCCGATTGGGATCCGGGTATTTTCGCCGCTACTTGCATCTCTATGCCAGGGAGTGCAACGCAACCCGCCACTCGTCAGGCCCGGCGAGGAGATCATCCGCAGACCCTCCCAGACCGGCCCAACCACCCTTGTGTGGATCTGGACCGGACCCAAAAAAACATGCCACAAGTACATGGGTTACCCAAGGCTCCCGTGACACGAACATATGACGGTCTTTCCGCTCAGATGGAGGTCATCAAAGTCCGTCAACGAGCATTGATGGCCCCCACCAGAATGGAAATTCGACCGTGATGTGTACACGTCACGAGAGCCTTAGCGTCGAAGGAGCGTCCACACGGTTCCTTCAATCGTTGAATAGACGGTACGTCGAATAACCCCCCGATCGCTCCAAGATCAGAGCAACTGGCGGATTGCGCGACGGACCGGCTATCCAAGAGTCAGATAAACCGCGTGGACGCACCTAGTCGTCAGTTCCTACGCTCCCTCTACACACAAACGCACCACAAATCAACCATTCACACAAACGCACCACAAATCAACCATTCACACAAACGCACCACAAATCAACCATTCACACAATCACACGCACACAAACCAACCATTCACACAATCACACGCACCCTAACCAACCATTCACACAATCACACGCACACAAACCATTCACAAAATCAAATGCACCCAGCATCCACTTACAAGTTTAAGTCAACATAAGAGACATGAATAAAACATGAAAAACTGTGGCATTTTGAACACAACTAAATAATGAACATTTTTGTAATGTCAAATGGGGCATGCAGCAAACTACAAAAAATGCCAAATTTAAGATGACCAGGCACGGATGCTTGAGGGAATCCAGTGCCATTCGAATCTTTCGACCTTGCTCCAGGAATTACTCTTCTTGACCTTCTGAATGAAAGCCTCCTGGTTTTTCGAGATACCNTGATTTTTGGACACTTCAGCTCTTTATGACTCGAAAACCCGAGAGACTTTTCATCAGACGGTTAAGGAGAGCAATGCCCGTAATATGGTCGAAAGATTCGAATGGTACTGGATTCCCCTCGGCCAAGTGACAGGTCCTCTCTTGATAGTTCAAGGTGATTCGTTAAACTCAAGTGACGTGGTCGAACTAGCATGCGATAAATCGCATCGATTGGGTCAAAAATCTCAGCAGATTTTGAATTTTCAGCAGAAAAATGACGGTAGCCCCTGCGCATGAGCCCAAAGAATCATTTTAAACCCCAAAATTGGCACAATTCAGAGAAATAAAATCAGAATAGTGTCAGGAAAAAAACTTCGCATTTGAATCAGCTATCGATTTCTGTATCAAATGTGAGATTTTTTTCCCGTGCACAATTCTGCTTTCATTTCTCTGAATTTTGCCAAATTTTGGGTTTAGAATGATACTTTAGGCTAATGCGCTGAGGCTATTGTCCCTTTACAGCTAAAAATTCAAAATCTGCAGAGCTTTCTGACGGAATCAATGCGATATATCGCAGACCAGTTCGACCACGTGACTGGAGCTCGACGAATCACCTTGCGAAAATTAGGGAGGGAAAAAAAGAGGAAGACAGGAAGAAATAGCGTGGATAAATGACACTGAACTGTGAGGAGCTTGAGAGTAAAAGATCATGCAAAAGAATAGAATCGGAAAAGGATTAGGTCAAACTGTGAATGCAATGGGAGAAAAAGTTAATTGATAAGAGAGGGGGCACAGTGAGGATTCAGGTGCTGATAAGAGGAAGGTGATAATGGGATGGGTGTTATTACTGGTGATGTGAGGAGAATGTTTAAGGTGATTCTTCAAGCCCAAGTGACGTGGTCGAACTGGCATGCGATACATCGCATCGATTCGGTTAAAATCTCTGCAGATTTTGAACTTTTAGTAAAAAAAACGACGATAGTCCCTGCGCATGAGCCTAAAGAATCATTCTAAACCCAAAAATTGGGTAAATTCGGATAAATGAAATCAGAACAGTGATAGGAAAAAAACCTCGCATTCGATTCAGCTATCGATTTCTGGATCGAATGCGAGGTTTTTTCCCGTACAAAATTCTGCTTTCATATCTCTGAATTTTGCAAATTTTTGGGTTTAGAATAATTCTTCAGGCTTGTGCGCAGGGGCTATCGTCTTTTTTTTGCTAAAGATTCAAAATCTGCCGAGATATCTGACCTAATCCATGCGATACATCGCAGACCAGTTCGACCACGTCACTTGAGCTTGACGAATCACCTTAGAGAGAATTTTGAATTTTATACACCTCTTTCACTTCCGAGACCCTAGTGAGAGAAGTGGTTCCAGTGAAATGCTAATTTTATTTCTTCGTTTGAGCCTCATTTTTTTCGACTGCAAGAATTGTTTTATATTCAGGCTGAAGTACAGTCTAGGGACTACTGACCATATTTTAGACTTCAGCACTGAATACCTGCAAATTGTTGTACGTCGCTATAAGCTTACCACCTACTCGTGAAAAATAATTGGGACGAACCAGATTAGCACAGACAGGTGAACGAAAATGTTCAGAAAGGGGTAAAGTACAAAATTTAGGAGAAAATTTGTTTTTAAAATAATGTACGTAGGTAACTCTACATCGGGAACTACAAGAAGGAAGAAACGACTGAACAAAAATGTTGGCAAATGTTCAAAGAAGAAAGAAACATCATTTGAAGAATCATCTATTTGACACCCTTTCTCCTCTTAGAGAATAGGTAAACCATAGCGAATACTAACGAAACAAAAATCCTCATTAAACAGTCCTTCTTTCCGAACGAATGGACTTGAAGTCATTTACCGCTCATGGGCCGGGGGAGGGGGGGTTGGTTTGATCGTCAGAATAGCACGCCGGTCATGACAATCCATCAGAAGGGGCGGAGGGGGGGACGCTCCTTGCGTTCTTCTCTAAGTTTCCGAGATAGTAACTATCACAGTAGACTGAAGGAAGAGAGAGAGAGAAAGCGAGGGTTTGGCTGAAGAAGCCGCAATCGTGCAGACCACCCGGGCACCCGCACCTGCTATGAAGAAAACTCAGATTCTAGGAGAGCAATAAGTGATAATGTTGAAAAACAGAAAATCGACTGAAATCGTTCCGTGCGGCTTCAGGATTCTGAGAAAAAGGGTTCTCTGCCCGAAAAACCAGACAGGAGACACAAGCCGTGAGGGCCCGCATCCGGTCCCAAGGCGTCACTTTTCGTCGCCGATTTCTTATCTTGCCCGTTTAGCTTCTCTCATTCACTTCAGGCAAACCACAGGGGGAAGGGGAGAGACCCAGCGTGTTGGAATCGGGCGGGAGAAAATCGCCCGGCAAGCACAAGGTAAGCGAGAGGGGAAAAAAGGCGGGAGAACTCGCCGCTCCTCTGACGTAAGGACGATCCGAGATTTTCGAGTGAGCCCCGGAGAGTATGGATTTTCATGTAAAACAGGGCTCACGCGGAAATTCAGTTACACTTTTTGGTCAAATGACCGACGAATTGGACTTCTTTATGCAATTAGGATATACAATTTCATCTGTGGTTTCATCTGGCTCATCTGTAAAAACACGTAAGTGCATAGGGAAAGTAATGGCACATACGTTGTTCTTAGATATTGCTAGAAATGATAGTTCCGAATGGCAAAATGTAGTTCAATTGAGAGATTGAAAAGAACAACAATCAACACATTTGGCTCGGCGTTAGGAAAACCGGAAATAGCGCCCCAAGTGCAATAGAACAGAAAAATCAAATCAACACTGCAGGAGCCTTTGAAACTTTTGCAAGAGGGGTTGAAAGGTCTTCCAACTTTCGAGAATACTAAATTAGGACCATTTAGAGGATACTTATTGAGTACAACATTTAGTCTCAATTTTCAACTAACGACGTGGAAACATTTCACAGAACTGTATTCTCACACTGAGCAGCATTTTTGAATTACTAAAAATGTAGCGAAACTTCTCTGTTTCAATGAAATTGCTCAAATTTTACACGGGATTTTCTAATCTTGGTAAAGTAATCCTTTGCAACTGCGAAAAGGAAAGTGNNCGGCGGCAGCAATCAAGGGCTTGTACGGTTGGGTTGAAACGATAAGTTCCAGTTAGACACTTCCAAATGCAAAAAAGAAATATGATGAATAAAAGGAAAGCTCGAGATGACGGAAACAAAAAATTCCAATTCAACGACTCAAACTTCCACGATAGATTTTTAGCTCACATTGATCATACGTGGAGCCCCCAAGTAATAACGAACGATTTAGTCAACCAATGAAGTAACATAAGGAGAGGCTCCAATAACATAAAAAACTGGGACGTTTCGAAAAAATAACGATTTCATTTCCGACTGGAAAAAAAAACCAAAAAGGAGTCGTCGATTTCTCTCCAATCAACATATTTCCTACTCTTTTTAAAGCGGACAAAACTTGCCCGAAATTATCATCTGAAGGTACAAATGTAAGACATAATGTCAATGAAAAATTCATATTATTTTCATCGAACAACCTAGGAATTCTCAAATGAGGGAAAGGTAGCGTGGTGAGTCTAAATTGGCAACCTGAAATGAGAGGGTACAAAAATATTCATGGAAGGGCTTGGAGGCCAAGGCTCATTCAGTACAGTTTTGGAAAAAATTGAGATATTCATTAATTCATCTAAATCTAATTTGAGAGTAGGCATATTCTTAGAAAATTCACAACTAAAATCCAACTTTAAAGCATCAGAAAGTGAGTTTGAACTTCCTTTCCGCCATTAAGCCCCACGAAATTTTGAAACTAGAAACACATACTTATATAAGTATCTTGGAATAGAAAAAATTTAAAACATTTCTGTGCGCTTTGTCCTCCAAGCCTCTCCATTTAAGAACTTGTCAAAATTTCCTTTCAGTGGGTTGCGAGTATGAAAGAAGAGAAATGACTGAAGAGAGAAAGAAACAGGAAAATCACAGGGGTAGATCACATGACAAGTAATACATATTTACACCTTAGTTGGGCAGAATTTAAATCAGAAGTAAGTAAATTATCTCAAACCTCGATCACAGACCAAACCGTGATAAACAGAAGCAGTAGTTAACCAAAATTTCCCATCGAGAGAGCCCATCACAAGATTCAGTTCTGCGTGAAGTTGAAAAGCTTCGCTTTGACCAGGGAAACCGGCGCGAAATGTCCACATCTCGAGACGAAATCACACCGAAACTAACCGAATTTCCGCACGATTTAATTGCACGACGAAATACGAAACGATGCGATCGAAATGAAAAACATGATGAGACAGAAAGCGAAAAAGCGAATCGCGCAACACAGTTCCGAACTTCCGAACGCGTGTACAGACTAAAACCTCGAGGCATGGTGAATGAATTCAAGAAACAGAAGCGTTAAACACGGCACAGATTATCGACACACTGCATAAAGAGACACACGAGACTTAATTACCGACAAACGAGAAGAAAACTCAAAGGAAGCTCTAATAATTTTGAAGGGATGTTGGAGAGCCAAGGCGGCCGACGCGTGCGCGACCAGAGACGTTCACCGAATGCGACACAAGTGAGCGGAGCGACGTAGACGCTGGCTGGCCGAATCTTTTCAAGGACAGACTCGCTCTCAGCCTCGGGCGTCCGTGATAGGTCCGTGACAGTGATCAGTTTTGCAAAGGGTAGCTTCCCGCCACCAGAAGGGCTCGCGAGCCAGCCTCCGGCCGGCTTCCGAATTTTGACGATTTGCTCGCACCTTATCCTGTTCTGTGATCACACCATAAACAATGATGCCAGATTTTACTAATAATCTTGTGGGGTCTCTCTCGAAGTACCTAAATGACTTGTGCACTTTATACAAACACAAATCCTCTATTATATTATAATTTGTTACCTGCCGTCCAAGTCTTCCTTTTAAGTTACTCCTGTTAACTAATCCAAATCAAAATGTACTTACCTACCTCCCTTCTCTTGCTCATTAGATGTCACACTATTTTTTCACATTTACATCTCATTCAAAATAATTGAATTGGATCTAAGACGTGTGCACAAATTGTTATCGTTGCTGGATGTTTCTTCAAAAATAAATAAATTTATGATAAAGTAGGTACCGACCTGCGGCACTTTTTTCTGCTGAGAGAGGAAACCTAAGTACGCCTCCTCGGTACATAAATTAGTCGGGTGCATCATGAGAATTTCTTCATTATTCTGTTTGAAATGTTTAGATAATTTAGATCTGATTGCGAAGAAACATCTCTGAAAAACGGGAGGAGAAATATTCTCAGATTTCCTCGAAAATTCGTATTTCATCAAGGGAAAGAGCCTCCCAAAAAGTGGCCCCTTTTTTGAAACTCGGGGATTTTATTCGTATGCGGCTTAAATGAAACCTTATGATGATACAAGCCTCCAGTAAAAATTTTAGCTTGAGAATACGTCTGGTTTCCAAGATACAGCGTTGCAAAGTTTGCATATTTATAAGCTTTAAAAATTCGCATATTATCTTACTTTAAAAAACAACTCCATGTTATTTTGTGACATTTTACCTACAGTCAGTCTTATCTTTAAATCCATATTCCTATTGATACGGTAATACTGCTGACAGGGGCGTAGCTAGGAAAGAGGTTGTTCCAAAAACGCCGATTTTGGCCCCCCCCTGGATTCGCCCCAAACTTTGCTCAGATGTTGTACTAAGTGTCCCCAACGCTTGGGAAAAATTTCAGCCCCCTCGNTCTGGGGGGGCAGGACCCCCCTAGTTACGCCTATGACTGCTGATTCTCTTGATACAACGTTGCATAGTTGACTTCCAGGACCTATAAAAATTGCTCAATTTTGTAAGTTTCTCAATGAAAAAACGAACTTATTGATCGCCAAAAGATCATCTGTGTATGGTGTTTAGATGTAACTTTATAATATGATACGTGTCTTCTATATAGGCCTTACCGCGAGCGTAAGTACAGATTTATTGACAGCGTTGCTAAGTTTATACATTTGCTCTTTAAAAATGTTCATATTTCTAAGTTCTACGTTTAAAAAGCGACTTTCGTGGATCTTCTTCAGAATTTGAAGCATAAAATCTACCAAATGTGTCATTCGTAGCTCTATGTTTTTACTAGCCGTTCTGGACGCACTTTGCGCGTCCGTCACGGCCAGCCAAGGGGCTGCGCCCCCTGGGCCTGGACCCCCGNCGCCCCCTGGACCCCCGATCACTTGCTACGCGAGTGACATTCAGCTCGCTCCGCGAGCCATTTTTCTCAGTGATTGGACGTTTGATCACTGAGATTTATAAATTTTGGAGACTCTGGAGGCAAAAATGATTTCGTCACAGAACCTTGTTGCCGGATCATGCCATCATTTGCACATGAATAGATGTGTGGAGATGAAGCGATGATGGGGATCGATCATTTCTTCAAAAACGCATTTGACTGGGACGTCATCCCTTCGGATGGCGGAAAAAGACAATCCATTGATCTCCTTCCGCGAGTTGACTCGCTGAAGTAGCAAAAGTTCATCTTTACCTCTTAAGAAGATTATCAGTGGCGTAGGGGTCTAAAAGCTGCTCAACGATAGTATAGTTCCGAATCGAACGATAGTCGAGTTCCGAATCGCAATGAGCCCACGCATGTTTTTTTCTTATATTTTCATCGCATATTTTCTCTGATGTTTTTGTTTTATTCTCTCTGATTGCATATTAGTAATCATATCCTCATTTCATTTCCTTTCCCTTTCCTTTTTCCTTTTTTGTAGCATCTTGGTCCATTTAAAATTATTATTTTAAAATAGCTTTCCCCTAGTATACAATTGATGCTTCAAACGGAATCAATTCTTTTAATGACATTTCCGGCTAAATCATGGGTTTTCCCAGGAAGGCAGCCTCTCGTCCCTCCCGGACTCTATTTTTGCCAGATAAGTTGCTTTTTTAGCACTTTTCCCAATTCAATTTCATGTAAAATATTCACATTTATCGCACAATCTGGCAACCTCTCGAGTGAAGTAGAAAAAAGGTGGAATCGCTGAAAGTCTGAATCCTTCGAAGTTTATATTAATGATTTAAACAGGGATACTTTGATAGGTGGTGATACAGCGATGCCAAGCTAACAACTTTAAACTCTCGAAATTATTATTTATGCTAGTTAAAGAGGACGTCAATGGGTGTCATAGGTCATACCTTATATCCAGGAAAAATGTCGAGGGCTGATGTCAGTTCCAAGTGACGCTTGGTATTCGCAAAAATACTATTGCTAAGTTTATTAATACTTCTATTCAAACAATAAATAATACAATTAATTTAAAATAAAGATGTTTTAGCGCAGAAGTACTCTGCCGTGCTAAGGAAAACCGCCGTGTGAGACTCCAGGCGTTGGGAAATTTCCTTTAATAAACAACGAATTTTCGGGAAAATGTGTGAACGTTTTTCCTCCAATTTTTCAGATTATTTTGTTCGCAATTTCACCTAAATTTCCTGAAAATTCCAAGGAAAAATATCCGTAGCTTTCTTCAAAAATAGGCATTTTTTCGAGGGGAATTAGGCAACTCTCGAATGTTCATACGGCGTTTTCCCTTAGCACAGCAGTACGGCAGTACTCGTAGAGCGCACTTGATGAGGGACGGCGCGCGGCGCGGCGCGGCGACGCACTATGGTCCACAGACTGGATTTAACGGAACTTTATTCGAAAATGCACTGCACCGTTATAAAAGGTGTTGGATCTTATGTTTTTTGGGTCGCTGATTTCATTTTACATCTTAGTTTAACAAAATAGTAACATCCTGACCGAGAAACTTAACTTCAAATGTGATTTCTGGCGCTTTTAAGACTGAAGATTTTTTCCACCCTATTTTGACATGTGCAAAAATAGTAACAAAAGTGTCTCTCGGTCGAGATCAGATAATTTTGATGTATTTTTAGGCGTTCAATCCGAATATGACCTCCGTTTTGGTCCATCGCCCTTAAATTCTCCGGAAAAGCCGATTTTACCCGGAAAAATGGACATTTTTGGTGTTTTTGCGACCGTTGACCTCTGCAACATGTAGGTAAAATTTGTTCCAGGTATTAAATAGTACTATTTCGATGTATTTTGATCTACTGAGTCCGAAAATGACCTTTGTTTTTTCTTATCACCTCTAACTTTTCCGAAAAAGCGACTTTTTCCCGGGAAAATGAGCAATTTTGACGTATTTTTGTCATAATTGCAATTCATGTTGATAAATTATACTGGACCCGTGGTAAAGCGATTCTGTCATGTATATTAAGCTGCTAAATCCGAATAGGACATAGGTTTTGGTTTATCACCCTCAAGTTCTCCGATAATGCCGATTTTTCCGCGCCTTTTGAGCAAAACCTTTCCCGGACTCTTGTGTTAAAAATACGGTTTAAAATTGATTTCTATGTTTGATATATCGATTCTTATGTATTTTGACTTG